TCAATCACCCTGACATCTGCTGGAAGGGCAATACAGCAGCGCAAAGACAATCCAGGAAGTTGTTGTATACCGTTGGGGACAACTTCCTGGTGCAAGCGTTGGGGAGACCAGCTACAGGCCACGCTCTTCTTGACCTGCTGCTCACAAACAGGGAAGAATCGGTGGGGGAGGTAGAAGTGGATGGCAACTTGGGCAGCAGTGACCATGAAATGATTGAGTTCAGGATCCTGAGAAAAGGAAGGATGGAGAGCAGCAAGAACATGGACCTTGGACTTCAGAAAAGCAGATTTTGACTTACTCAAGGAACTCATAGACAAAATCCCTTGGGAGGCCAGTCTGAGGGGGACAGGAGTCCAGGAGAGCTGGCTGTATTTTAAAGAAACCTTACTGAGGGCACAGGAACAAGCCATACCAATGTGCAGGTCGACTAGCAAGTATTGCAGAAGACCAACTTAGCTTAGCAGGGAATTCTTCTGGCTAACACAAAAAAAGGAAGCTTAGAAGTAGAAACTTGGGAAAAACAACTAAGGAGGAGTATAAGAGTATTACTCAGGCATGGAGGGACGAAATCAGGAAAACCAAGTGCAACTAGAGATGCAGCTAGTAAAGAACATGTGGGCCGTATGTAGAGGCGTGTGTGCACGACACTTTAAAGTGGGCTAAATGCTTTTGCGCTGCCTTAATGGTGTTGGTGTTTGCACACACTGGCGGCATGTTGCACATTAGTTCCAGGTACTGTAGCACATTCGGTGGCGTAATGCGCCTTAAATGACTTGGGGCACAGCAAATTAAAACTCTTTTGAGGAATTTTAGTTTGCTGCCCCTTACAGCCACAAAGCAAAGCACCAGGTCCTGTGCAGCTCTATGGCTCTGCAGAAAGTCCTGTAGGCAGCCTGACAGCAGCCCAGGAAAGCAGCTCCACACAAGAAAAGCAGCAAGCCTGATCTCCCCACCCCACAAAACCTGCCTGCCTGAGGAGTGCGGGGGCATGGTGCTTCCCTCCACAATGGGAGTGCGGAAAAGGCTGGAGTACCCAATGCCCCCCCCCCCCTTTTTTTTTTTACACCTCAGTCTTCACAGACAAGGTCAGCTCCCAGATTACTGTACCTGGCAGAAGTTGTGGGAAGAGGTAAGGAGCCCTCAGTGGTGAAAAACAGGTTAGGGACTATTTAGAAAAGCTGGATGTGTACGTGTCCAGCCCCACGGACTTGATGTACCCAAGGGTGCTGAGGAAGTTGGCCAATGTAATTGCAGAGTCACTGACCATTATCTCTGAAAACTTCTGGAGATTAGGAAAGGTCCTGAATTAATGGAGAAAAATAAATATAGTTGCCATCTTTAAGAAAGGGAAGAAAGAGGATCCAAGGAACTACAGCCTCTCCTCAGTCTCTGGAAAAATCATGGAGAAGATCCTCAAGAATCCATTCTGAAGCACGTGGAGGAGAGGGTCATTAGGAACAGTCGGTATGGATTCACCAAGGGCAAGTCGTGCCTGACCAACTTGTTTACCTTCTATGAACAAGATGACTGGCTCTATGGATGTGGGGAGAGCAGTAGGCATCATATAACTTAACTCTAGCAAGGCTTTTGATACAGTCTCCCACAACATTTTTGCTACGGAAGTAAGTGTTCAATGAGTGAGACTGTAAGGCGAATAGTAAAAACTGACTGGATCATCGAGCTCAGAGGGTAGTGGTCAATGACTCAATGTCTAGTTGGCAACCGGTATCTAGTAAAAAAAAGTGTCTCAGGGATCAGTTCTGGGGCTGGTTTTGTTCAATATCTTCATCAACCTGGAAGATGTGATGGAGTGCACCCTCACCAAGTTTGAAGATGACACCACGCTGAGGGGAGTAGTAGATACACTGGAGGGTACGGCTAAGAGTCTGAGGGACCTAAAGAAATTGGAGGATTGGACCAAAAGGAATCTCATGAGGTTCAGTAAGGAGAAGTGCAAAGTCCTGCACTTAGAATGGAACAATCCCATGCACCGCTACAGGCTGGGGATGGACTGGCTCAGTAGCAGCTCTGCAGAAAAGACCCTGAGGGTTACAGTGGACAGCAAGATGAATAAGAGCCAACAGTGCCTTGCCTTTGTTGGGAAGAAGGCTAACAGCAAATTGGGTTGTATTAGTAGGAGTGTTGTCAGCAGATCAAGGGAAGTGATGATCCCCTCTAATCAGCACTCATAAGGGCATATCTGAAGTACTGCAGCCAGTTTTGGGCCCCCTACTACAGAAAGGATGTGGACAAATTGGAGACAGTCCAGCAGAGGGCCATGAAAATGGTTTGGGGGCTGGGGCACATGACTTCTAAGGAGAAGCTCAGGGAACTGTAGAAGAAGGGATTTAATAACAGCCTTCAGCTATCTGAAGGGTGGTCCAAAGAGGATGGGGCTAGACTGTTCTCAGTGGTGGCAGATGACAGACCAAGGAGCAATGGTCTCAAGCTGCAGCAAGGGAAGTTTAGGCTAGATAGCAGGAAAAACTTCCTAGCTAGGAGAGTGGTGAAGCATTGGAACAGGATACCCAGGGAGGTTGTGGAATCTCCATCCTTGCAGGTTTTTAGGACCTGGGTAGACAAAGCCTTACTTGAGATGATAGAGTTGCAGGTGGTCCTACTCCAAGCAGGAGGTTGGACTAGATAACCTCCTGAGATCCCTTCCAAACCTAATTTTCTATGATTCTACATCTGAAGAAAAACATTTGCATGAATGCCAGAAAATCAGAAATGGAGTTTTGCACAGCTCCTTTTGTTAATTTAGTACAGACTAAACAGAAAATGTTCACTAGAAGTAAAAAATGCCTGCTACGCACTACTCTTCCACAAGAGGGCATTCGCGGCATTAACAACTAAGGAAACATCTAGCTCTTTAAAAAGGCCAATTAAAAATTAATAGCCATAAATTCCCTTGTCAGTAAGAGCTGGGATCCTATACACAAAGCAAATTCAGCCCAGTGGAGCAGCAGAACACAGCTTACAATATTATCATCTTTTCTTCAAAGATGAATACTTTAGTTTGACCAACAGCGGCACTTTAAGCGTTTAATCTTCTTGCCCTTCTCTGTTAGCATTACAACACCAACCTTTTGCGTGTTGGGGAGGTAAATAGAAGGGCAAACCCTGTAACATAATTCCTGTGATGAGAGCCCCACAATGTGCTAACTGTACAGTGAATGGGCCACTACCTCTGTCTCCATTTCAGAATACTCTTGGATTCTTTCCACAGCAACAATGTTTGTTTCCAGCTCAGAAGACATGCGGACCAGCCAGTTTAGGTATGTTGTAATCTGGCAAAAATAAAAATAAATTAAAAGAAAGAAAGAAATTCCTCAGCATAGAGTTTACAAGTTGTCATTAACACTAACATGCAAATACTGACACAAGCATGACCCCCCCCCCACACACACACACACACACCTAGTTTCAGTGGGAGCTGTACAACTATATCATGGAATAGTCCTTGGCCACTACTGCAGTCACTAAACCTGCGTCTCATTTGTTTCACCAGACGCAGGTCATAGTATTAGTTTTGTATTACTGATGTAAAAGTAACTTTTCTTTTTTTCTTTATAGCCCCTCCCACACCAGCAAGACCTACATCTCCAAGCTCTTTCAAGACTCATCTGGTAGCATTTTCTCTTTTGCACATTTCTCACCAGTTTCCTTCTGAAATGTGTCCTTTATTTCTATTAGGTCCCTTAGGATTCAATCCATAGAAGACTACATGCAACTAATCTGTACTGTGCATACCATCACATTTAGTAATGGAATAATAAACAGAGTGATGGAGTCTTAAACATTTAAAGGAATTTTAGATAAGTCACCTGCAGGGAATAGGACACAGAGAGACCAACCAGTCCCGGGCTTTTGCGAGCAATCACTGCAAACAGTGCCGCAAAGAGAACGATACAATTCCCCACGCACTCCAGCCGGACAGCCAGCCATCTGCAAGAAGAAAGCATTTAGTTTTCCAGAACACGTGGATCTGGTGCACAAAGTAAACCCATGTTTTTCCTTGTTTTTAAAGCTAGTGATACTGAGGTGTTTGTATCAGTTCATCCTTATGATCCTCTGGGAATTGGTAAAGTTGTAACTTACTATATAATGCCAATGACATTAAGCATATACATGACTATTTTAACCCTAAAATGTTTGCTCATTGAACAACCACAACTAAGCTAGACTTGCAAACCGCATTTTGAGGAACTCAAGGATGAATTTCCATTAAAAGAAAAAAGATCCAGCTCTGACTTCACTGCCCGTATACAGCCTTAACTAATTTTAAGTGTAAGGCTGTCAAATGTGAACAGTAACCAAACTCAAAGATGGGATGAAAAATAACACATGCAGCATTAAACTTGGCATCCTGGTATTAATACAAACTGTTTTAGAACCATATTTGGAGTTTTCCTACCAAAGCTTCCTGTCAAAATCAACCAACACTGGTTTTGTGAAGCAACTTCATACTTCCTAGAGGCGAGGAGCAAGGACAGCGGAACTGGGATCTTGTTACGGTATTCTAATCCAACACTTCTGCCCCTCTACCTGTTTGCAACAATGCTGGGGAAGTAAGCTTTCTGATTCTCATCCACTTTTGTGTCATTCTGCCGTATGAAACGCTGCTGTTCTTCAAAGGCTCGAATAACGCTGACCCCCAAAAGGGTCTCGTTGAAGTGAGAATAGACTGGAGAGCGACTGACAGATTCCAACCGTTTCAACTGGCGAGAGGTGGCCACATAAAATCTCTGGAAATCAAATCAATAGTAAGTACAATCTGGAGATAGGTTTTAAAGAGAATGAATGAAAAAAAAAAAAAAAAAGAAAACCTAACTCATACTCAACCCCAGACTATTCCACTACATAAAAGCAATATATTAGGACCTACTCTGAGGATGCATATGTTCAGATTTCAAGGCCAGAAGGAACCATTCAAACACAATATAGGGCAGGGGGTGGGCAATTATTTTGGCTGGAGGGCCGCTTAACAAATTTTGGTGAGCTGTCACGGGCTGCAAGGGTAGCCCTGCCCACTGACAAGTGCCCCGCTCCCTGGTTGCCATCTTGGGACTGGCAGTCTCCCCCCTGACCTTTACCAGTACGTCCCTCCCCTTGCCCCGGAGTGCCATCAGGCTGGGCCAGCTCCGCACCTCCACGTGGTGCTCCTGGCACTCTAGCTGGGAGCAGCACGTGGAGGCACAGAGCCAGAGTTCACCAGTGGTCAACCCCCAATCCCCTGTGGCCCGTTCTTACCTGAATTTCCACTTTTCAGATGGAGGGAGGGCTCGGAAACAGCCACAGGGTTGCCGAGGCAGAAGCCTCGCTGGGGTTGGGGTTGGTCATGTCACAACAAGAGCCTGAGCTACTTGGTGCAGCCGGCGCCTCATCAGGTAATAATCTAAATTTTACTGGAGCCCTGCAGGCTGGATAGAATGGCTTGGCAGGCTGGATCCAGCCCATGGACCATATTTTGCCCACTCTTATCAGGGTTGGATTGACACAGGGGTCAGCAACCCCTGGCACACGTGCCGAGCATGGCACGTGAGACCATTTTGATTGGCACGCCGTGACCAGCCCTGACTCTAGGTAGCTGCTGCCAGCAATGGAGCCCGGGCTGCTCCCAGCAGGACTCACAGCGTCCCAGCAAGCAGCGGGCAGGTGCAAACAGCTGCGCCGGGCTCATCACCTCAGCGCCGGGAGCGGGGGAGACCCTGGGGCTGCCCTGCCTCAGGCCCCTCCCCCACCGCCCGCTCCGAGGCGCGCCTGCACGCGCTGTGGAGCTGATGCTGGAGCCCGGCACAGCTGTTTGGAGCCTCCGGGCTGCAGCCAGACCCAGCTCTGGGGAGTTGCTGCCAGCCGGTATCCCAGGCTGCTCCCAGCAGGCAGCTGGGACGCTGCAAGCCCTGCTGGGAGCAGCCCGGGCTCCAGCAGCTACCCAGAGACAGGGTAGCTACTGGCAGCCACAGAGCCCAGGCTGTGGGGAAAGGGCTTTTGGTGGGGGGCAAGGGGAAGCAGGGCATCCTGCCATGTACCCCTTGCCTTCATTTTGTTTTTCTGCCATGCTAGCACTCCAGCACCTTCTGAGGTAGGCGTTGTGGTGTTTTTCGGCACTCCAGCCAAAAAACGTTGCCTACCCCTGGATTAACACATAGGCAAACAAAGCACATGCCTAGGGCTCTGAGCTGTGGGGGGCACTGGTCTTTTCCTCTGCAGTGGCAGTGTGAACGGCCCTCTTCCCCTTCCCCTCTGCTGGTCTTGCTTCCACAGCGGCTGCTTCCTAGCAGTGACTCCAAGCCCCACTCCCCATGGGCAGTAGTGCTGGGGTGGGTCTCAACAGCCCAGGGTCCACAGGTTTGTTTGCCTAGGGCCCACTACAGGGTTAATCTGGCCCTGGCCCTGATGTAGGGCATCTTTGAAGACTGAAGATTAAATCACTTGTTAGAGATTTTTTCTTCTCCCTATACATACTTGCTTGAAAACTCTAGGATCCCAAAGGCTAGCTGAATGTTTGGATCACACACTAAATCACAAGCATGAAATATTCTGCAGCTGGAATGAAGCAAACCAACCCACTAACGGCAGTGTAAGAATAAGCTTACACCCATAGCTGGATTGCCTCCACAGGGCACAGAAGTAAAAGGGCAAAGCCAGCGTACGTAAGTTCATAACACTCACAGGAAGCATGGCAAGAGTAAATGCTTGACTGCTCTTTTTTAGACAATCATCTTTCTGACCAGGCATGCACTTTAAGCCTGTGCACTTCAAAGCGCACTCCCCACTTGGGTTATACATACTTGAGTCTCTCTCCAAATAGCAATAGAAACAAATGATTAATGAGAAAATTCTCTATGAAAAGTACCTTACAAAATCCCACCAGATTTTTAAAAAGCACTGTTAAATATTACCATTATCTACTACACAGCAGTTATAATGGAATGATCCAGGACAGTAGAAGACATCCCAGTTTTAATGCTGTCTGGTAGGGAATGCTCAACTACTATCAATTCAGTGAGCTGAGTAGACAGACCATCCACAGTGCATTTCATAAAGTACCTGAGAACACAGTCAGTCAAACACGGACTCTGGTCATTATCTTATTAATATCCATTCAAGTTCAGCATCAGGACAGAAGAACTGACAAGAGGTAGCAGATACTTCAAAAGCTCAACAAGAGATGTTCCCCACCTGCACAAAAAAGTAGATGAACCCCAGGGGTGGAATTACAACAGCGGCTAATGGTGTGGCCAGCAGGATGATGATGCAGGCCCCAATGACATTAAACAGGGAGCCCATGAACATTTTGATAATCTGAGGTATCATAGAGTCAATAGTATCCATCTCCTTAGAAAACCGGTTCACTAAATTCCCACTAGGCGTTCGTTCAAAGAAACTCATTGGAGATCTAAGCACATTGTGAAGTAGGCCAAGGTGCAGGTATCGTGAAGCAAATATCCCCCCAATGGACACGGCCATTGAGTAGCCAAACACAGCAATACCTGGAGGAGAAGAAAAAGAGAAAGTAGAAGAGATGCAGATTTGATCAACTCTCCGCTCAAACAGAAAATTTTTCATGATGTTTTTCTTAACATAAAAAAACCTCAATTCTGAATCAGTCAGTTTAGTCTATTGCAATTCAATTATGTTCTTCCTTTGAAAAGCAAGAGTTTGTGGTCTTAATTATTTGGACCAAGTGCTAAAAAGAAAACAACTCTTAAAAAAAATAGGCACACTCTGAAAGAATTTTTTTGCTTTTTCATATTCAACTTCATGAAATATTTGCAGACATAGCTTGGGTAACCCCTGGTCCCTTTAAAAAAAAGTGGACCTCATTTCTTTCTTTTTGAAAAACCAAATATGGCAATTCAGTTAAAAATTCTGTGCTGTTTTTGTTCAAAATAGACACCTCCCAGCACCATCTAGAGGCCTTCTCCACAACGCTTTGCAGAGTAGGCATCTTAATCCTAACCTAGAAGAACCCCTTCCATCAGCAAGAGACTTCCGTCCACGTGGCTCAGTCAGTCTTTGGCTTCTCCTCTAGAGCAGCCAGCACGATTGTGAAAGACCATGTTGTTGGGATGCCGGGAATCACATGACAAGAAATTGCCACAATACATTCACGTGAGTTACCAAGGACAGAGATAATTCACTTCAAGTAGGCCCAAAAAGCATCACTGGTGATAGAAATGTATCATACTACTGGTATTTGAAACAAATCACACATTCATTTTTATTCTAAGTGTTAGAAGGAGACCAATTCACTGGCTGAATGTTGCACTGCAATTTAAGCTGTCTCATTAAATAAATAAATAAAAATCAATGCAAACTCCAGTAAAAAAAAGTCTTCAGCAAGCCTTTGTTACAATGCTGTGGATACCAGGTTACCAGGGATTATTAGAAACATCAGGGATAACACTGGCTTTCATGCTGAACTGATCAGTTGAAATAAAAAGTCCAGACAAACCTTGAGAAATTCCCAGTGCTCCATACACTCCCAGCCTGAGGTGTGTGTGCTGCTGAGTTCCATTGATAACAGGATCATCAGTCCATAAACTTAGCCAGTAGTTGGAGGCCAGGGAGGCTATATGGTTACATATAAAAAGAAAGATGCTCAGGAAAGAGATTAAAAGTCCAATTGCCTTCATGTATTCCCAGTACACTGCTGCCTTTACCTAGAGACAAGAAGGGGAGAGGGGAAAAGATCACTTAAAGTTTAAGTACTGATGACTCCTTTACATTTAGCAATTACCCATGGGATTGGTAAAGTCAACATGCCAGTTTTGTTTTGTTTTTAAATGCTTAATAGCCACGATCCAGAAAAAACAGTGCCTCATCGCCACTGCTGCCACCTCTGAACCAAATACTCTGCAACAATTAAACACTCAACTGCTGCATGACATAGGCAAACACTGCCCCTCTTACGGGTGGTAAGAGTGAAAAAAAGAGAAAGCGACTTGTCAAGGTGACACTGGAGACCTATGTAGAGCCAAGGATAGAACTCAGGAGTTCCAATATCTGCTTCTGTGCCTTAACCACAAGATTATCCCACCCTTTAATAATAGGATATAATTCACATGGCGTAGGAATACTGTGACAAAAGGAAATCAGGGAGCCAAAACTAAGAATCAGTGCATAAGAACAGGGCTCCCTCTAAATGGATTTGATAACTTAAAGAATCAAATGAAGTGAAGCAGCTGGCATTTCTGCTGCATCAAAACTGCCATCATCTCTTAAGCTGCATTCAAATCTCATGAGAAAAAAGAAAAGCTGTAGTAGGCTTCAGGACCTGCATTTTTCATGGAAACTTGGTTGTAATCCAACTGTTTCAATTTCAGCCTCTCTAAATAGACTGGGTCACTAAATGTGTTGCAACCTTGCCACAACCTGGCAGCTTCTTTACAAGTTAAAATTAGCAGCTCAAACTTTCATGTCAACTTTGGAACCATCACTGAAGAGTTTTTTAAAAAAAGCACATAAATGTGCATGAAACTGATTTCATTTTGACACCTTCCCAGCCTACAAACAACTCCGAAGTTCAGCTGAATGCAGGGCGCACTGAAACAGTTACAAACAAGCTCCTAAACCATGCCTAGTCCCTCCTTCACATCTGTTGCATGCTCCTCCTCCTCCCACTTCAATGCTATTTTAGCCAAGTTGCAGGGATTTTTGTTAAGTTACATTTGTGGGCAGGGTACAAAAAGAGGAAGAGGTTCATTCTCACCCTTCCAGTTTTTACTGCATCAGCCTCTGTTAGTTTCCAAGCATTTTTGTCTTCTGCTGCCTTCTGGAGCTCTGTTGTACTATTCTGCTGCAAAGATTTCCCTGTTTCTCCACTGTACGTAGATGAGTTACTGAGTTGTCTGTTTGAAAAACAAATACTTTTGTTTAATGATACAAAGGGACCAGTTGCTTCACAGGCAACTAGACTCCAATGGGCTGGACCTACAAGTCTAGATACCAGCTTATTCTGCTTTAGGGTAAATCAGGCAGGCATTCCCTTATCAAGGGAGTACATGCAAATACTCAGCATTGTGGCCCCAACCTCCACACTTCAGAGTCTGTCCCTAGGCACAACTCTTTTGTAGTAGAAAATAAGAGCTTCAGAACTGGCATGAGAGAACACCAGAGAGTTTTGTTCACTCCATCAAACTTAATGATGAACAACGAACAGCGACCTTTCTGGACCCTGCCATTTTATTTTGCAGAGTCTGGGATTCAGAAAGACATCATTTCAGTCACTGGAAGTGGCAAGTTAACACCCCACCTCTTCCACATTCTTGAACACACCTTAGAATTTATATTAAGAACCAGTCATCTTGATAATGTCTATCCTTTATAATGATCAACTAATAGGTACTCTGGTAAGGAGCCTCTCGCATTATATGCTGCCCACAAAATAGAGAAGTCTGTAGCACAGTAAGATGAGATTTACAAAAGGCTATAAAACGTTCGTGGCATGAACTTGTTTAAACACAATGGACACTTCATGGTGTTAGCAGTCCTAAATGCTCTCTTTGGAAGCATGAATGTGAGAGATGTTATTTTTCCAAGTCTTTGTTTGATTCAAATGAAATTTTAAAAAAGGACCTTTTCCACAAAAAAAAAAAAATTCATTGTCAGTAAGAGCAGCAAGACTGCATTCTCTGGGTTTGGGATGCAAGCTGTTTTGCACATCAACTAGGAAAAAAAAAAGACTTGGCTGATCCACATTCTTAGCTCTGCATGTGGAATTAAACAGAAAAAAGTGTCCCACTAGAAAATTGTATCACTGAAAATATGCACTATGTATTTCTCCCTCCCACAGGCACTACTCTCTTCACCAAAACACAAGTCTAAAAGAAAATTTAAACTTTTTATATTCTGAAAACCCTGTGATGTATGAACAGGATGGAGCCTCCTACTCCCCATCCATCAAAAATCTACAAACCTATTGATCTGTTTTCCTGAGGCTTCATTTACAAGAACTCCATTTTCCATTCGCTTTCCTTCCTTCACAGTTGGACTCCTTGCATCTGTAAGAAAAGATAAAAACAAAGTTGGCAAAAATGAGAGAGAGGTCTAAATTAAAAACTCATATCTGCACACCAATAGCACATCCAAACAGAGAGAACACACTGGGCATAGATAGACATTTAGTTTCTGCTGGGAGAGTCACTGTTCTCCCAGTAGAAACCAAAAGGATACAGACATTCATTCGTGCCCTTTTCTCCCAAACCAAAAATGGCAGTTCCAGGAGAAAAATAAGCCGACCCCTATCAGAGAGAAAAGTTAGCCCCAGGAGAATTTCTCTAGGGAGAGTGAACATCTGTACACTTTTTTCCAGGCTTAACTCTTTCCAAGAAGCAGGGGAAAAAGGTTCCCTGCCTGCCTCAGGTCAGTCACATTGGTCTGGAAGAGGCGTGGGGGGCAACTGTTCCTGCCCCTCCTCTGAAGTAGGAGGGAACAGGAGAATCAGCTACCAGCTACCCCGTTAGCTCCTCACACTCGGAGGACTCCAGTGTGAACAGCACGTAGGGGGCTGACCAGCTGCCCAGGAGCTGAGTGAAGGCAAAAGTGCTGCAAGCCCCCTGGCTCCCTTCTCACACTGGAGACCTCAGAATGAGAAGCAGGCTGGGAGCTCCCCACTGCTCCCTGAGACCAGGACTACAGCGGAAGAGCAGCTAGTTGCTCCTCCCCACCAACTCCCCAGACTGGGATCCTTGGTTTGGGGAACAGGAGAGGAGGGAGGTGGTCTTTACTCTGCTTTTCCCTGCCCCATTGGGTCCAGGAGGGCAAGGATACAGCAGGGCAAAGCCCCCAGCCCCTTCCCTAAGCCAGGAAGTGGCCAGTTTGGGGAAAAGGCAGGGAGAAATAGCAGCTATTCTAGGGAGGACAGCGACTGCTACTACTCTGCCTCTTCCCCCAGCTGGGCACTGCCTGGCTTGGCAAAGGGGCTAGGGTCTGTATTCCTTCTGTTCTGTTCCCAGAGACCAGAAGCAGCATGGAGGAGGCTGCTCTCCATCTCTTCCCCAGACCCCAAGCTGGGGAAGGCGTGGGGGGTTCTTCCCTGCTGCCCTACTCTCCCTGGCAACCAGATGTGGAGCAGACACTGCTCCCCAGGCCTTCCCCAGATCAGGATCACTCCAGTCTGAGGAAGGTGGGGAAACCAGGCAGCTGCAGCTAAACAGCTGTATGCTCCTTCTCCCAGACAGATTGTTGAGAAATGCCCACCAGCAGAAATGAATGTTAAATATTTCATGGCTGCTGATGTACTTAAATACACTATGGTATTTACCTGGTAACCCAGAGATTAGCAAGCATACTGTCTTAGTGTTACTTTGAATCTAAAAGGTACACTGAACAAAACACAAATAGAAAGCAAGAGTGGCTTTCCAATCAAAATGTAGACCTACTGTAACACAGTAATCCAAGACACAGTTATAAGGAAATATAGGACACTAAAGTACACATCAGCATCAGAATACAGTCCATGCTTTGGCCAATCTAGACCACCACACACTCCAAGCATTTTCTACTTTTCAAAAATTCATCTGGCCTGGCTATTCATTAATTCTTTATGCTCATTTTACAATAACCCAGAAACTTAGAAAAAGCTATTCTGGGGGACAAAGGAGGGGTGGGGGGGCGTACTGGTAAAAAGCATGTTCAGAGCAATTTTGAGAATGCTGGCTTTAAATTTCAAAAAGCAAAAAGAGATTGAGAGATAGCTAAACCAAGTACAGTATCTAGAAAAGCCTTTCTACAGTTTTAACATCCATCAAAAAAACAGAAGCTGTTACACATCACTATAGTTTTTACCTACATTAATTCTAAAATATTAGGAAGAGTTGATGAATACAAGCAGGCAAGATCACTCTAAGCAAACCAACAAACAAACAAACAAAAACATGTATTTGAAGGTGATATTGCTAGCAAAGATAAACCACATGCATTACATTCAAAACTTCCACCAATGGCTATCGGACCCTACTAAGTTTGTATTTCACCACTTCCCCCATGCACATTATATGGCTTTAGGGACAAGGAAATGTCTTCTTTTAGGATGGACTGATAATGTCCATCCTAAAAGGAATTTTACGCACATGTTTTTTGGGCTAACCAGAGCCATAAATAGTTTATATCACTTAGAAAATCAAACATTGTTCTAGTGAAAAAGTTCTTCCAGCGTCTGAATTTAAAGAGAAGCAAGATTTATTTGGTAACATATTATTGGACCAACTATATAGCTGAGAAAGAAAGATGTTCAGGCTCCAAAGCTATCTCTCGGGTCTGGGAAAGTAAGACAGAGCTTAAACTAAATACCATATACTGTAGAAGCTATTACAGAATAAATCTTGCTTCTTGTATGTTCCCTAGACTATCAGGGCTACAGCACTGCTACTTTGAATCCAAAAATACATTTCTTACTGTATTTTACAAGGTAAACACCAATGTACCCTACCAGTGCTAGTGTCAGTGTGGCTTCCGCAGAGTGAAAACCAAACAAGGCAGCCAACCTGTGTAAAGCCCCAGTCGTAAAATTCTTAGTTTAATCATCTGAAACTAAGGCTTCAAACAAACATAACATTTGTCCCAGAAGAAACCATTTTATCCTAAGACAGTGTGATCATTCAGACATCCATGTCTTGTCTAGGGACAAACCTGAAAAAAAGGTTCAGGAATAGGTACAAACAGTTTGTTCTGGGACATTGCAATGCATATCTGAACGGCTGTCCGAGGACTGCATCATTGAATCAGTGGCAGAAAAGCAACAGCGCATTCAGCTGCTCACTACACCCCAATTGGAAGGGAGATGTGTACATGCCAATCCCAGCTCTCTTCTGTTCTGAGAACAACACAGACACAACTTGTCCCAGGACAACTGCAATGTCTAATCCTAGCCTAAGAGGGGGCAAACTTTAACCTGACAGCTTTCCATAAGCAAGCATGTCTTTAAGCATTTAAACTGCCTTTCATTTGGGATCCCTGAATTCAATGTAACCCCTAATTCTACCTTAAAGGACACCAAATTCCCAAATGGCTCTTCAAAGTTTGATTCATCCTTGGCTTACAAAGTTCTGTGGTATATGCACTGTAGTCAGTACTTGAGAAAAAGAAAGTTCCCAGCATCATAAAAACACTGGTACAACCCATTAGGGAATGAACAAATTCCAACAACTGCCTGTATTTCATGTCTTAGTCACCACTGGCATTATTGGCTGGAATTCTTTAGACTCATCAT